CAACAAAAATAGAAAATATAAAAATAATTTGGTTTGAGATTTATGTGAGTCTCTTTTAACAATGTCATCATTTAATTAAGAGAACAATCCTTACTAATACAAAACTACCTTATAAAATCAAACACATCTAAACATTAATTACAATTATCATCCCTAATCAAGACAAGGGTGGGATTATACAGGTAAGATTGCGTTCATCTTATTTCTGCAAATTAAAAAGAAAAACAGAGATCAAATGGGTGTTTGATGAAAAGTTAGAATCATGAGATGGACCTCCTTCCTCTCCCCTTTCAACCATTGATTTATGGAAGCTAAAAGATTGCCCCCGGGGTGCATTTATATTGTTGAGAAACTCCATACCTTATAACGATGAATGTGGTTAACAATGGAGCATGCACAGATGCAGATTTTTCAATTTTCAATTTGATTTGAGTATTTTGTTATCTTGAAGCCGCCCAAGGATTTTGTAATGCAGCTGCAGTTCCAATCATATAATGAATGCATTTAGTTGGAACACTAAAAGTCAGAAAATCCACCATAATATGATTGGCCACCAGCACAGATCTCCACTTCATTGCATGGTATGATTCCATTTCCATACCCCAATCAACAAGGATTGGATTTACACAATTCTGCTCAGCTCATACACTTCGAATCATTCATGTAATCACCTCCATCGTCCATCTACCAACACATGTAGGAAGCCGTAGCGGTGGCAATTGCCTCCTTCGAATCTAGTTTCATTTTAATTTTAGACTGCATTCCATTTAAGTTCAATTTTAATACATCCAATTAGCTTCAAGTTTAGTTCGAGTTTATGGTAAGTGGGGTCAGATCAATATTAAATTGGTCAATTTTTGGATTTGATCAATAACATATCGATCATTTTTATTTGAATCAATCTTTAGATTTTCGAATCAATTCAAGTTGAGTTAGGTATGAGTACAATCAAATATGTATATAATTATTATTTTTTTTGTAAAATGGTTACTTTGTATTTGAAATCACAAAGTACAACACCCCAAGGACCTCATTAAAAAACCTCTCTAACCCTAAGTAGAGGAAAAAGAGTGAACCTTGGGATGGAAGAAGGTCCAACATGAACCCAAGAATAACAAGAACAACAGCTGGGAACTACACCACTATAACCGCCAGAAACATACTACATCAATGTAGCTTCACACTGCCCCTGAATGAAATCACAAAGGAACCACACACAACTGAAACAAAGAAACACCATGCTACAATCTAGGAGACATAAGACAAAGAACATATGCCTATCAAAGGAACTAAGCAACCTAGAGAGAATGATAAACATAACCCACTGCATAACACTAAACCCTAGAACACCACACTGCAACACTGGCTTACCCCAGTATGGGCCAGAAAAAAACAAGTTCGAAGACCAAGCAAAACGAATCAGAAACACTGCACCAAGTAAGCACCGAACCGTACAAGCATCAATAAACCAAACAAGAAAACCAGCTTTAACTCTGTTCTCAAATCAGAAAACACAACCCGGAAAGGACCACCCTAAGCTGGAACAAACAACACAAAAGCACCACAAAGCCTTTGCAACAACACGAGCCATCAATGCACCAAAGGAAAAACGCCCTCCTCCATGCCACCCAGGAAGTTCCCACCTCTAAATCCAATCTGTTCACCACAACTAAAAACACAAACACTTGTTTCTCAACCCTGGAACCCGTGCTACTTCTTATTCACAAGACTGAAACGAATCACCCCCTCGAACTTGAATTTTGAGACCTCAGCAAAAGTAACCACAAGAACCTTGAGCACTTGAATATAGAAAAAGACGCCCAACTATAAACCTATTCCGTAGACATTGGCAAAGCACAAACTCTCGACAGAAACGAGCTGCTCCACTAACCCAGAACTCAAAAAGATGGGAACATCGAACACCCCTTCTTCATAGACACCCGAAACATCCACTATAACTCCTACATGCATCGCACCACCTTTCAAGAAACCATAAAAATTTCACACCTCTGACTACTTGACACATTCAGCTCCTACCCATCCAAACCACCCTCGAGACTAACGCCTTCTTTCTCTAACGAAAACCTGACAATCCACTAACAAAAAGAAACCTCTGACTCAAACCAGAATCATCTGCACAAGCCTCTAAGAAACCCAAATCCTCCGCCAATACACCGGCGACTGCAAACCACGCTCTGCCATTGACCAAAGATACGACAATGCAAACACGAGCCACACAAACATGTTGAACTTCCAATGGAAACGCACCTCATTTCCACAACCAGAACACGAGATATGCAACTGCAGCATAATCCTCCTTCAACCTAGGACACAACTCAACACCGATAACACTGAAAACGCCTCTCTACCAACGGTCGGAGTGCCAACAAGGACCACACAATGCTAAACACAAAACACAGGAGCGGGCAGTGAACAGCAACAAAAAGCAACACCCAAGAACATTAAAAAAAGGCTAAAACGAAGAAAGGAAACAAAGGCAACGAAACCCGACCTTGCTATTAAAAGCAAACTTATTAAAGAGAAAAAGCTACAAAAGGAAGAAAAGAATCGGAGGCCAGCAACCAGCCATGAGGGCTGGTGCCGTCGCCACCGATATTGACAAAAAACTCGAGCTTTGATTTTCCTGTGGGCTTCAAGTTTTTTGGTATATTACGTTAATGGTGTGTTTTGGTACGCAATATGTATATAATTATTTATATATTCAAAAACTGTATCTCGTCAATTTTATCATTTAAGTTCAATTTCAACTCCTATTTATTTTATCTTCCGAATTCAACCATCATTTAGAAGTGCCAATTTGATCCAAACCTAATGCTATAAAATTTGTTAAAGTTTATGACCTAAATTTTGTATTGACCCGTTCTAAAAAATTAACGATGTGACCCGGTTAGTGAAGAATAAATTTATAAATTCTATTCTCAATTAGAATTTTCAGCTATGTAAAATGTCTAATTATTAATATATTATTTTTAAAAATTAACACAATAATTATATTTAAATAGTATTGGTTTAAATTATTTTATAAATTGTATTATAGCTTGATAATATTTTGATTTTAAATAAGTGAAGATGATTTTATAGCCCTTGAACTGCAAAAATGTGAAGACTTTGATAAAATTTTGTAGAGTATTGTTGGATCATGAATGTAAACTTTTTTTATTATCTCTTAAATTTGTTTTTAATTTCCTACACCATCTTCTTGCATTTGCTTATTTTAATTTAAAATTTGTATTGTTTAATTTCTTATTTCACTGGTAAAAATATTAGTAATTTATTGTTATTATTTGTGTAAGCTTGTTGAAATCTTAACTATTTTTAAAGAAACTTTATTTTATTCAATGTTCTCTCTTTTTTGGAGAGCTACAGAATTTATAGCCATGCAACGTAAAGCAATGAACATTCTCGATGATTACAACTTAGCAAAACTAACGTTACACCTTAGTTTCTTAACAAATTTCCGGCTATCATTACCTTCAGCTGTTACCCATAACAGTTGGCATAACAGCCTTCTTGCTAACATGCACCCTGTTGTCCCAGGGTTCTTCACCGATTCTTCACCAGCCAGGAGAACGTTAACGCTCTGTCGAAACAACGTGAAGTACGACCGAACCAATGGTTTGGTCAGACCATCAGCCTTCTGATACATGGCAGGAACATAGCTTCTGAGACCCCCATGTCACAGTCAGTAAGGATGTCAACCAAACAACCTCCGAAACAGTATCGGCAATGCTCTGATATTCTACCTCAATCGTTGACGTTGAGACTTCCAAGACACCAAGTTGTCACCCAAGTATACACAGAACCCAGAAACTAAGTGTTTATCACCAACATCACTGGCCCAATCGGCATCCGCGAACCCGATTAACCTGTTGTCACTTGTCAAGTCTCGAAACAAAAAAAGAAATATCTGTTGAGTGCAAGAACGATGCATGGACTAAGCAAGGCGACTGACACTAAAAGAAATATCTGGTCGCGTATGACTAAGATAGAGAAAGCTCCCCACCACCCCAAAACACCACCACCACAATACTTCGATACATTTGAGCATTACTAAGTCACCACCATTAGTACCAAGGCGAGGAGAAACGACCATCAGAGTTGGAACAGGGTTTGAACCCCGCATATTAGCTCGATCAAGGAGTTCCAAAATAAACTTTCTTTGTCTAAGGGTGATCAAGTCGGCAGTTCGTTGGACTTCAAGACCTAAGAAGTGATGTAGTTCTCCCAAGTCTTTCAACGCAAATAGTTGTCCCAGTAGACGCACCACACGCTCAATTTCCATATTGTCTTGGCCAATGATGACTATGTCATCAACGTAAACTAAAATATATAGAGAACGATTGTCAACACAACATTCAAAGATGTGGCAATCAATAGCTAGTTGATGTTCATCTTTTTTCTCAACTCTTTTATAACAATCTCGTTCCATTTGGGAGATGAGAGAGCATCATATATATTAACTCGGTTCATCATCATTATTGTTGGCCTGAGCGAGTAAAACCTTAAAAGCCCCAGTTTTACTTCTTGTCATCATAGGATGGGACAATAATAAAATCAAACAGTTGATGGATATATTATGTGTCTATTAATATTATATGATTTAAGAGGATGGAATTTGATTTTCTAAGAACACGTGATTGATTTTTTAAGTTTTATTAAGAAACACTTTATTAAAAAAACTAAATATATTCGAGTTTGATATGAAAGAGTAGTCGAGTGTAGATATTTGATTTAATTCATAGTTACATAACACTTTTAAATGAGAACCTTTCATTTGAGACATGTTTCATGATAATTTGTGTTTGTAAAAAATAATGAAAAAATTTCTTTTAAAAGTTAAGCTATAGTTTTCTGTCTAAATGATGTTTAATTAAAGTTGCGGTCAAGTTTGCCATGTCTACGAAACCTTAAAATACGCAAAACCGATTCCATCAGTAAACTTTGACATTAAAAAGATCAACAGAAATGACATTAAGTCATCACGAAACAAGAAGCAAAGCATTTCCATTCACTAAGAGTAATGCTATCATGTGTATAGGTAAGATCAATTCCATAGTAATACAACGTACAAAAATGTCGATCGACATACAGCATCAAGAAACAAAAATCACCCATTTCTCAGCAATCTATCTAAATTTGGGAATTCCGAATTTTCAATTTTAGCGCAAAAACAAGACGACCACCACGAGAAAAGGATCAAGGGAAGATATCATATGTCAGCAAGCTTCCGCAGTAAAGCACGATTCCTTACCGACATAATCTATGGGAAGCACTATACCATCATCTACATGACCCTTCAGCCGCAACACTCCCCGCTACCTGCACTAACACAGAAATTGTTAACTTTGCAGTTGCAGGGCACTTGGATTATAAGGAATTAATATACCAGACTACATATAAGTAGCCAACAAATTCAACAATGTCAAAGGTTTCGATACGAGATGCAAGAAAAGCAAATATATGAATGTAAAGAAAAACATATTATGCTCATTTCCTATCTGGCACTATGACACGGTAAAGTTACTTAGCAGATTCAATATTCTATCAGGAAGCGTTAATAAGAGATATTAGCAAATAGTCATAGTGAGCACATGAATGGGACAATGTATTACCTGAGAACAAGATATCTCCTTATACAATTAGTAAACGGAAGCAATGTCATTATCATTCTGCGATTCTACGCTTCTTTGACTTTTTAATGTGATTATTGTAGCTCAAGGGAGTTTCTCCCTCACCAACAGTTTTATCCCCCAGCGATTCTCTATCTCTACCCTTTGTAGCACTCCTACATAATTATACAGCATTTACATTAAAACCTTTGCAAGCTGATTTATAGAAATGTTGCTATAAAAAAACTTTTTTGAGTTTATTTAAAGACCTATCAATTTCTGAAACTTCCTCCGAATTCCTATCTAACCAACGAATGCTTCCAGTGTGAGCTGGCATCAGAGATCCAGTGATGTGAAGTATTTCCTCGTCAAAACTGCAGCGGAATCAGTGTCAAAAATCATGTGATCAATGCGCATTTGACCACATGGTCCACACGTTCCCTTTCTCCAAGGGGGAAAAACAAGAAACCAAAACTTAAAATAAGTTAGTCTCCAATGAATATCAACTTGCCTTGATAAACTACAACGAAACATTATTGAAAGGAAACGCAAGTAGAACCAAAGTCTTATCAAAAAAAAAAAGTAGAACCAAAGAATAACGACTAGGCCTTAATTACAAATCTATACATATTTGATCCATGAGCAGAGCAAATAAACAACTCCACAATATCAATTTACAATCTTAAGATAGTAGAAGAAATTAACCAGAACAGAACAATAATGAAAAACATATGCCATTCTTAAATTAAAAGGATAGCTTTCTTTTGAAAGGAGATTGCACCTCTTGACTAAAAAACGAATCATGGTTCCAACTTTTATGACATGCCGCTTGTGAGATTTGCTGGTAAATAGTTCCTCTCCGTCTTTCTATGATGCAATAAGCCACTAAAGTAAGTTGTTACAGTAATAAACATGGTATCTTTCCATAAACGCAGAAAAAAAAAGAGAGAAAAAACAAGATACAGATGTGTTACATTTCTATATTTAAATTCTCCGCGGATGTTTTCAGCTGTTATGATAGCAGATGAAAAACCAAGAACAATGACATGAATAGATTCTTGACAAAGCTTTACTACCTTCCCCTCTGAACAAGGAAAAGAAAATTAGTTTAGACAGTATCATAGGCCATGCAGATTCATAAATACATACAAGCAGTGTGATATCCACTACCAAAAAAAAACTAAATAAATAACCTGAAAGATCATGAAAAAGTACCTATGAGCATATCTGGTTTCGGTGAAAACAGGAGGAGATTTGCTTTTAGTTTGAGAGCAAAATAGGGATGAACACCGGAAAGAATTTTAGTCTTTTTATCAATAATATTAACATCATAAGCCAATAAAACACCATCAAATGTTTCATTGAACCTGCAAGAAGGAAGGAAGACTTCATAACAGGACAAAAGGAAGCAAATATTCAAATATCATTGGATTATTATTATCAACATTACAAGTGAAGTGCATTATGACACGGTATCATTTAGATTTTAGATAACATAAGCTGTTTTAAATCATACGATTCATCCTAATATGTTAAATTTTCAGCTAGAATAGAGAGCTGAGCTCTGCACTAACCAAACCAAGGGTGATTTAACTAATCCACAAACAAAATCAACACAAGACAACAGCTTTTGGTGAATGGGAACATAATAAATAAAAATAAAGGATTCGAGTAATAAAAAAACGAACTTGAAGAGCCAAGAGCCAAGCTCACGGAGGATCGCCTGGGAAACATTCCTGCTCTTAGAGGGGTGTAAGTACATCACCAAATTAGCATCTGCTACGCTTAATCCTTCCATTTGAAGTTGCAATCAATTCCCAAAACTGAAACTTGAGGGATTCAAAATATCAAGTCTGGGTTTTTCTTCGGAGGGGGGGGCCAAGAGAAAACCCTGAACATGAAAAACCCTAATGACCACCATATAACTATTGAGTATTTGAAGTTTGAACAGCTTTAGTTTGGACCTTAAAGCTCTACGTCCACATTTGAAATATATGTTTGGGCCTATACAATTTAAATCCTTTGTAGAATTTTTTGGGCTGTTATTCTGAGTTTAATATATATGTAATCCTTGTGTTCATACCATAACTCAAATGTTTTTTTAGTAAAATATAAAAGTATATGTTTATTTCATTCAAATATTTCTTTACAAAAATTTAATTATCATTAATAGAAGTCATTATACATGTTAAATAATTAAAATTTTATATTTTAGAAAATATTTAAGATACAAATTTAATGTTCATGCAATCTTCTAGATGTTATCGTAACAACTATATCAAGTTGAGGCTCGATAGATAAAATATTATAAATATTTTTTGCAGCACTTATTTTTCAATTTATTATAAACACATATTCTATAAGTCTTTTGTTATAATCAATATCACATATTAACAATAAAAATTAAATTGTTCTTTATTTAAAGAAAATAGTTGGTGTAATGGAATGATTATCAACGCAGCTATTGTAATATCCAGTAGATCATTTAACGAAATCATCTCACGGTAATTAACTGGACACGTGTTTTATTTATTTATTTTACATTTTCCCTCCGCATCTCATATTATCCTCGTTCCAATTGTCATCCCCATAATTTCATCACATTTTGTATTGTCTTGACTATCAGCATCTTCTCCACCACCAAGTGAAGGGATGTTGTTTCATCTCAACTTTGCAAATTGCAATTACGCAATGTTGAGAAGGCCAAACTGATCTTCATTGATGGGTAATCTTTATGAACAGCTGAAAAATAGAGGTCGAAGAATCCATCTGTAATGGCCGGAGGAAGAATCCACCAACAGTGATCATATCAAAGCCTATTATATGCATGGATCGTATACAAATGAAGTGATTCTGCAATTGATTTTCTATATAGCAATGAAATACAAAAAAAAATATACAAGAAAAGACAGTGTATGAAAAATTGGGGGGGAAAAAGTACATCACCATCGTGAAAACTGTTTCTCAATCCCATTGTCTTCTTCCTCTGCATTTCAATGTGTGCTCCACCTTTAAAATCTCATCAAAGAAAGAGAAAGACACAAAACCCCCAAGAAAACCTAAAAGAAAGAAAACATATACGTGTACATAGCATTTATATTTGCCTGGCTCCATCTTGTCTGCCTTAATGGGTAAAGGAGTTGGCTTAGTTTATTACAGAGGGAGCAATAGAGCTACATTGTATTGTGTCTCTCCCATATGTGAATCCATGGAAGTGAGCTTCGATTTACAAAGGGGTGGAGAGGGTTCCTCTTGAAGAACAAGGAAAGCTTGGTCGTAGAAGGCCACTACTGTAACAAGTTTAAGCTTTGATGGTGGGTTTCCTCTGAGGTTGCTGGGTTTTGATGGGGTTCATGTTTAAATGGATTAAGTCAAAATCTTTCTTTTATTCTGCAAAAGATCATTTGCAAACCATGTTAAATCCACCAACAACACAGCTTGGAGGAAATCATGAGTAGTTGCAAAGTTGATATGGAGCAAACCAGCAACATTCGTGGACTCTCAGGCTTATTAACCCTCCCAAATGTTAGCATCTGCCAAACTTCTGCTGCAAAGGGATCTCTATTAAAAGAGATGAGGACTATGCAGTCTACAAAGCAATCATAAATCTCAACTTTTCGAAGCAGAAAATCTGTTGATAGAAAACCAAAATCTTTCCCAATTAGTACCTTCCCAACCTGATCCCAATAATACAGATTTGCCCAACATAAATGGTAATGGAAGCCTACAACCTGTAAACAAATTGGAAAACCAAACGCAGGCTAGGACCAATGATGAAAAACTGAAGTTGGAATCTGAGCATTCAACTGAACACTTAAGTCAATTGACTTCAACATCCAAATGCAACGCCAACGAGGAAGAATCAGCTGCAAATGTTGTAAATTCATCAACTATTTTAAACTAACTTTCTTTCCCTAACCAGAGCCTGGTTCCATTCCAGTTGCAAAATACTCCATGGCCCTTTCTGTCACAATCGGAATCATCAGTTGTCCAAACTCATCAAGTAAAGGTACCTCAAGCTGATATTAGTTCTTCAAGTAGCCTTCTTCCTTTCTTAGACATCAATGAATGGACATCAGACCTCTCTCCTTGCCAACCTCTTGCCGGGATTTATAGATCACCTGACGATACGCCCTTGTGTGGGTTACAAGACCTTTCAGCTGCCTTTTCTGAAGTAACTAACCCTTTTACTACAGGGGGTCAGGACACATGAAATCACCAGTTGAATGGTTGTAGGTCTTCATCTCAATCCGACCAATTAGTTTCATCCACGGTCTGATTTTTATTGATTCTTGTAGGATCAGTTGTAGGATCAGTTGGAAGGTCAGTTGATGTCACAAGTTTTAAGAACTAAGACGACCTAATCTCTGCAGTTGAATGCATGTTCGGACTGAAGGGGCTGCTTGACGCTGCAAGAAGTTCAGGATGGAAATTAGTACATGTGGATTATGAGAATGATGTTCTACTTGTTGGGGATGACTTGGGAGTAAGTATTCATAACATACACACTATACATGTACACGTACGTCTACATGTATATTTGATGTCTATGCAGGCTTTGGAGTGTCGGCAAGTATTTTATAGGCCCAAGTTCACATTTCACCATGTAATCAGCTGATCCAGCTTCTAATGAACTATAATTTGATGCCCATGCGGAGAGTTTGTCGGGTGTGTCCACTGCAGTAGAATCCTATACACTACAGAAGAACAACAGATGAGTGAAGAGGGGATGAAGCTTCTCAACAGAGACGCAATGCACGGCATTAATGGCCAAGGTTGCAATGCTTAAAGATTCCATCATCTGAATTGGCATTTCCGCTATTCCATTGTTTATTTGTTGGAGGTGTCAAAAAATGGAAGAAATTCAGCTGCTGAAACCAGATATATTCTTGGTGGGATTTTAACAAAATACAATTTTCAGCAGGAAACGGTCTTTTAGCAAATGCTAGATCAGAAACCAGAACTTAGTGCATATATATCGCTGATGACTGATGAGCTAAGATCTTTCCAAGATACATCACATTCATAACATCAGTATATGACAAGCGATGTGATATCGTACCCCAATAGTATTAGTTCATCATTTGAATCTCATATTGATATTTATCGGATTTATCTTTATCACTTGATCTACAACTGTTGCGATCAATTTCCAAGTATGTCATTGCAGAATCAATATCCAATGTAATGTTAGCTGCTCTTTTCACTGCTGTAATGATATTTAAGATGGCAAGTAGCCTTCTCAACTAATTTTTTCTCAATTGATAGTGAAACTATAGAATCTTTCTCCCACGGCCTCTTTGACATATCGTAAATTTTTATCATGCTGATAATACATAACAACCAATGTTCATAGTAACCAAAACCTAAGGATTCACCTAAGTTTTGATAATGGGAACATGGAGATACGTGGAATAAATTAATAAAGTGACTTGGGTTTTTATTAGTCAATGAAAGGACTAAGAAACAAGACAAGAAGTTAATGTCATTCTATCAGAAAATTGCATGGAAAATCAGGCATGCTAGGAATGCACAAGGTATGGTTTCTTCTTCTAGAAATAAGACACAACAAGCCATGCTAAAACTCATAACATTTATTGGTGAATGAAAACATAGATATCAGGAGGGGAAATTTGGGAACTTGGTGGTAAGACTGCAAAACAAGTTCAGAATCATACATGAAAAATATAATTTCTCCCTGGGCATAACCAAAACCATTTAAGGCATTAATGCAAGAAAAGAGGCATTTGCCCTTGGCCAAGTTGACTAAAAAACATTTGCAAACTGGGATGGTTCACCTCAGAAGAAGATGATGCATATGATTGGTGATCCCAACAGAATTTATCAAGACGATGGCCGAGCAATTAAATGCAAATAAAAACCAACATTGCAAGAATGTACTTTTCTTGCTTAATATATGTGAAGCTTTTGGAAGAGATTGAGTCAATTCAGAATACTACTTTTTTATGCTGTGTTGGCTGTTTCAACCATTTTCCCCCAGCAATAGTGTGCAAATGGCATGTCACAGTCAATTCAAGCAGAGACAAAGTCATATCACAGCAAACGTTGCTATTATTTGCAGCCAGATGCAGCAAAGAAAGTTCTCTTATAACATTAAACAGATGAAATCAGAGCACCCAAATGGGGTTCTAAATATTAACTCAAACAGACAAGTGTTCAATTGAACCAGAATTAAAAAAAAAAAAAAAAGTAAGAAGTCTAGCAGCGTAAATCAGTATCCAAAATGTTCATATAGGAGTACTTTCCCAGGTTTCATCATACAATGGAACAATTTATTATCTTCCAAAGTGACATCAAGTAAAATGGTTGAGGTAAAGACGGAGTGGATTTACTGCTTCTTCTCTTCTGCTTTCCTGGGCTGAAGCAAAAAGGAAAAAGGTTTGGAGAGATTAGACAAAATAACAGCAGTTTAGAAACCATTTTCGTATTTTGAAACAGTTTGCCAGAACTAAGCATATAAGAAGAAAAATATAAGCAAAAGACAAATATTAGGAAAAACTATAAATCAACATGTTTAATATGCTCAAGCTAATCATTTTAAGCAAGAAGGATGTTAATAGAGCAAACGGTAATCAAGCTCATACCCCATTATATGAAAATTTCAAATCCTACCGAGACATACCAATTGTTCGACAAAATGCCTCTACCAACTGAAAATCAACCCAGAAGAGAAAATGCCCATACCTTGGTTCCAGGAAACGATTGGTGAAGTTCCTCTTCGGGTATAATAACGGGCCACTTCTCGCCTGCTTCACGGAACATTTGCTCGGTCTCAAGGAACTGGCCCTTTTCGAGGATCATGGTCCTTATGGTTTGACCAGGAGTGGATGTGGCATCGAAAACTTCTTCCACTCCGT